CCCCCCCCCCCCCCCACCCTTTTTCCTCCTTCCCAGAAAAAAAGAAAAGCCAACCTGTCCCTCTTTCCATCTGGAAAAATAGTTTTGACTCCATTTCCACCAAAAAAATACAGCAGCAGAGCTCTGATTTTAATTTCAAGCATAAATAATGACTGTGATCATAATGATGTAGAGAAAGAAACAAACCTGTGCAGTAGGCAAGCAAAGTCGCAGTGGAGACCCTCATCTCTAGAAATAAGCTCATTTGAGAATGTCAAGCCTGGCATCATTCCCCTCTTCTTCAGCCAAAATATAGCACAAAAGCTGAGAACAAAAGAGACCAATATGCAATACCATTGGTACAAATAAGCACTAGTTAAGTAAACCTTTACATAAGCAAGCATTAGTAAATGAAACAAGAAATGGTGCATATGGATATAGATGAAAAAAAAACTAGATTAAACAGAAGCATACCTTCCTGAGAAGAAAATTCCTTCAACACATGCAAAGGCAACAAGTCTTTCTGCAAACGAGGTGGAGCTGCATTCAAAGATTAAAAAAATGAGGATTTGTTTAACAGTTTATGGCTGACCATCTTTCTCAGTGTACTATGTTCCCAGTACTTAATGAGCTAAATGAAGAAATAAGAAAGGTGAAACAAATTGCTATAGACTCTGTCTGTTTCACATTGAACAGAAAGAAAGGTCCAAATGAACTACACATATTGTCAGAAAAGGGCAATCATGAAAAAGATCCATAGTTAGCTCTTCCAGCATTTACAAGTAGAACAGATGTTTTCTAATTTCAAGTTTGACGATGATAGAGGCAAAATATTTTTTAAGTAGACGAATTATACAGTGAATGGTTGAATTCTGACCTAATATTCTGTAGATGCAAAAGAAGAAAAAAATTTCTTGAATTTGATCCTAGTGTTTAAGTTCTTTCCCTATGAACAAATACTCACCCAGTGAAATGGATCAGAAGAATCTTCGATAAGTACATTAGAAGTACATGAAAAGAACTCAAGAAATTGGAAGATTTCAAATTCAATTGCTTTTGCCATATTGCACTAGTTTAATAACATCGCTCAAACCTCAAAAAGGGAAACTGTGCAAACTTGTATGGAGAGACACACAGCAACACACACAGAAGAGAGAGAAGAGGGGGTGGGGGTTGGGGAGAGAGATTAAACACCATACATCCAAAAACTAAAGATACTCCAACAGATGCATGAAAAGAACTTTTCACCACATCAATTGCCAAGCTAAAAGCATTTTATGCACATAAAATATGACATATATCCAAACATATTACTTTCTTGAGAAGAGTTGGTTTTTTTGAAAAATTCTTGAAATGAAGACAACATTACTTCTGATGTTGACAGTACATGGAGCTATGCTTTGACAGAACCATTATGTAAGACTGACCAAAAAAGCAAGCACTGAGATGTTTTAATACCTCTGAATCCAATTCAAAGCCCAATTAGCCTTCTGAGCAACACAAGGAATGTTTTCAATGGCATTGAATAGTCTATGCTTCTCCTTTGAATCTTTAATGTATGTCTCCAAAAGCAAGCTGTACATCTCTAAATGCAAGAGGTACAAAAAGATCCGAAATCAGGTAGCTCAAGCATACATGTTGAGCAAATCACTACAAGCATCACTAACAAATCTTTACCAGAATGTATATTCTCCATCGCTAGTTGAAATCCATAAAATGCCCGAGCCTGTAAAGGAATTGACAATTTTAATCTTCAAAGAAAGCAATAGATATGCTGGCATTAAAACCAGAGGACCTTAGTCAGCAAGACTGAAAAGAGTAGCGTCATACTTTAGGGCACAAAACGCTTTTATATATGAGATATCTAATCTAACAACNTTAAAACCAGAGGACCTTAGTCAGCAAGACTGAAAAGAGTAGCGTCATACTTTAGGGGACAAAACGCTTTTATATATGAGATATCTAATCTAACAAACTGGAAAGTCTCATCCAATCATCTCAATTCTATCTGTTCTAAATCTTGCACCCGCCTTCACATAAACTTTAAAAACTTTATCAATCCAATTTTATTTGGAAATAGTAGAACTTCCACTGGGCACATATTCCTCAAAACACTTAACTCATATATACTTATGTAAGAGTAAGAGATTGATTTTGATTTTTCAATATGCTTTCATGGGGCAGGGATCAGTCAATAGCCGAGAGACTTATCAGCTAAGAGTTTTTCACTTAAAAACAAATTTTAGAGAGATCTCTTTCTTATAGATCATGGATAAGTATTTAGGCACTAAAATATAACTTCATCAACTATGCTGTAAAAGGTCTTTTAAGAAAAAGGAGCAAACCTTTTCTCCAAGTGTTTAGACAATCCAACAAAACTCTGCCCAATAAACACATCAATCTGCTGCTACATATTCCTACTGTTCGAGCTTGGGCATTTACATTCTCCTTTGTTAATTCTTGAGGAATAACTGCTGATTATGATATTCATACTTTCCACACCAAAAATAAAAAATAAAACTGGCGTGGCAAATAGCCTCAGAACATCTTGCGGTAATTTTACCAATGCCTCCAATAAACAGAAAAAATAATACTGACTACTCATTGCAGACAGGTAGAATTCTTCCCATACCCATGAAGGCATGAAATACTCAAAATGATACGAACAAAAAATAACTCAGTGCTTTATAATGCAGAAAGGTGTGCAAGGAGGAATAAGCCATGATAGGTGATTTAAGCCAAATTTAGAAACTAGGTTCCATTCAACCAATCATTATTATAAATCAAGGAATTTAGTCAATTTACCTCTGGAATTTGAACATCATTTAAAAATCTTGCTGCCAAATTTTCCAAAACAATCCCATCAGATGCAGCAAAAAATGCCAATACATGGCTTATAAAGTGCTTCTCAGATTCAGATAAGGTTTCCCAGTGCTGCACATCAAGAGAAAGATCGACCTCCTCAGCTGAAGCCCCATATAAAAAATTATTAGAATTTATTTAGAAAACAAAAGGGCAGGATAAAAAAATAATTGGCTGAAGGAAAATTGGAAAAAAAAAAAAGTGCAAAATCAGGCACAACATCAGAATCCAACTACTAAAGGAAAATTTAAGTCTAACTAAGAGATCCAAGAACACACACAAAACATATATATACAATTTACATACACCATTGAATGTTCTCCACAGGTCAAATACTACAGACACATGTTGTTTCACCAGCTGGCCATATACTAATTTACAAGTATGTTACCACCTCCATGATCAAAGCACCAGTTTTTTCCATCACCAACTGTGCAACTAATGGCTATAATAACCCCCCCCCCCCCCCCCCGGGAAGGTGGTAACCACACAAGCCAAGAGCCTATTTCGAATGCAACCATTGCCACCCACTTCCACTGTCAATGACACTTCCACCAATCCCACCCGATCAATTCCCACCTGTCACTTCGTCACCACTTATTAGAACCTTATGCATTGTTTCCATTTTTGCCAATTTAAGTCGAATAGGTCAACCCTGCAATGGATTGGTATCCAACCCTTTCAACTATAATCTATGCATCTTGTCACACTATCAATGTAATACGATCAACTAAATGACATCAGCTCTAAAAAGTTAAAAACTTTGTCAAATGACATCAGCTCTAAAAAGTCAGAAAGGTACCAAAACAAACAATTTGTCCCTTTTTATGTTGGGATTAAATTTGACAAAGTATGGAGCAACAAGACTTTTCCTTTAGCTTTTGCATCAAAAAGATAAAAAGAAAACATTTTGTTTCCTCTATTTCTTAAAAATACTTCAAAATTACATACTCCAAAAAAAAGTTAATTTAAAATTAAGCAGATGGGGTCACCCCAGAGGGGGCTTCAAAGAAGTTGTCAACCCAGAGTTAAAATAGGTATTACGAAAAGCAAACATAATTAGATCCTAAGCAGTTCAACAAACAAAAGTAAGTACGGAATTGGAACTTTTACTGTACTTTATCCATTTCTAATTTCACTATTACAAAAGAAGAAGCAGAAACACTCAAAAAAAAAAAAAAAACGCAAGTCTTGATATTACTTTAAACAAGCAATTGTAAAACCAGCACAACAGTATCAGTCCTCTTCCACTATGCATTAAACACAAAAATCACACATATAACAACAAACTTTTCAGTGAGACAGAAACAGAGACCTATAACATACCCAGCTCAAAACATACATTAATAAGCCAAAACAATCCAAATTTGGATAAGAATCCAAGATTTTTCCAAAAATCAAGAACACGGGTACGCATCCATTTGCGAGCGCGCACAGTCACACGCACACGCACACATACATACACACAAAATTCAAATATATTACCGGTCCAAAAACTGGCTTGAGCCTTCTTGTACATCTCCCAAATTTGTGGGTATCTAATGGGATACATAGAGAACCTCTGTGATTGCTCCATTAATATTGGCTCTTCTTTTTCTTCTTCATGTAGTAGTCCTCTCTCTGTTCCATTTCTTAAAGAACCCATTTTTTTTTCTCTTTCTCTCCCTCTCCCTCTCTCCCTCTCTTTCTACAATCTGTTTTTCCTGTATATTGAAGGGTCCGTTCTGTAGCAAGAAAGTGAAACCCTACAAAAACCCTCCGCCCACAAAACAAACAAACCGACAGGTTTTGGGTTTGTTGATAGAACACCCCTGTTCTGTAATTCGCTATCTATCTGTGTTGTTATGCTTGTGTACTTGCATGGGGTAAAAACCGTAAAAGTGGTGTGATTCTCACGAAATGGGTTGAAAAGATCAATCTCTTCGACGCCGTTTTAAGAGCATGTTATGTCAGCATTTTTACAAAATTTTTATACTTAGTACCTCAAAAGATTCAAGGATTTCTACTTTATGTCGTCAAAAATTAATTTTTTTAGGAAAAATTTCAACTATACCCACTCTAGTTTATCATATCTTCAAAAACACCCCCTCTATTTTACAAATCTTCACTGACACCCCTCTCTAGATAAACATATCTTCAATGAGACCCCCTCTGTTTTCTAATTTTGTTTATGTATTAAAATTTGGACCGATTAAATTTTTTTTTTTAAATATTAAAATTTGAAATGATTAAAAATTATATTTTTTATGTATTAAAATTTGAGCAAATTAAAATTCTATTTGAGCCAATTAAAAATTATTTTTAATCTACTCAAATTAAATTTTAATCAACTTGCATTGAATTTGAATCAACACAAATTTCAATACATAAAAAAATATAAATTTTAATTGATTCAAATTTTAATAAATCAAATTTTAATTAACACAAATTTTAATAAGTTAAAAAAATATAAATTTTAATCAACTTGAAGCAAATTTTAATCGGCGTTAATAACTCGAGTAGATTTCAAATCAGCTCAAATTTTAATACTTAAAAAATAAACTTTAATAAGCTCGAATTTTAATACGTTAAAAAAAATAAAATTTAATCAGTTTTNCGTTAATAACTCGAGTAGATTTCAAATCAGCTCAAATTTTAATACTTAAAAAATAAATTTTAATAAGCTCAAATTTTAATACGTTAAAAAAAATAAAATTTAATCAGTTTTAATTGAATTTTAATTGGTTCAAATTTTAATCGGTTTGAGTTTTAATAAAATTTTATGTAGAAAAATTACTTGAGGTTTATGAATGGGAATTTTTTGTATTTTAGATGAATTTTTTTGGTTAAAAATGGTAGTTTTATAGTATGGAGTGTTAGTGATGTTGAAATATAAACTAGAAGGAGTGTTAGTCATGTTTTTTATAATAGAGGGGTGTCCTTGAAAACATAGTAAATTAGAAGGGATGTGGCTGAAATTTTTCTAATTTTTTATATATACCCGTTATATATAAAAAATATTACAATGTGATCCTATCATTAACTTTCGTTACTTATTCCCTCAACGTCAGTTTGGATTTGACTCATATAAAGCTCGTCAAGTTTGAACATTTTTTTATNTATAAACTAGAAGGAGTGTTAGTCATGTTTTTTATAATAGAGGGGTGTCCTTGAAAATATAGTAAATTAGAAGGGATGTAGCTGAAATTTTTCTAATTTTTTATATATACCCGTTATATATAAAAAATATTACAATGTGATCCTATCATTAACTTTTGTTACTTATTCCCTCAACATCAGTTTGGATTTGACTCATATAAAGCTCATCAAGTTTGAACATTTTTTTAGATTCGTTTAAAAAAATCGACTCGAGTTCATAAAACTCCACTTGTATATATCTAAAATAGTTGAGCTATTTAGGTTCACCTCCTGTTGGACTCAGTTTAGGCTTGACTCATTTTCTAAATAAATTGAGTTTGAATAATTTTTTAGCCTCGTTTAGAAATACAAACTCGACTTGGTTATCAACCCTAATGTCANATTCGTTTAAAAAAATCGACTCGAGTTCATAAAACTCCACTTGTATATATCTAAAATAGTTGAGCTATTTAGGTTCACCTCCTGTTGGACTCAGTTTAGGCTTGACTCATTTTCTAAATAAATTGAGTTTGAATAATTTTTTAGCCTCGTTTAAAAAAACAAACTCGACTTGGTTATCAATNTTCACCTCCTGTTGGACTCAGTTTAGGCTTGACTCATTTTCTAAATAAATTGAGTTTGAATAATTTTTTAGCCTCGTTTAGAAATACAAACTCGACTTGGTTATCAACCCTAATGTCAATGAGGTGATTTTTGATAAAATGAGCAACAAAAACAAAAAACAAAGCCACGTTGCAACTAGTTTAAATATATTAAAAGTGTAATATAAAAATTTTAATCTTTGAGGATAAAATATATTTTTTAAAATTTTTTGGGTTGCAAAGTGCAATTTTGATTTATGTGTAAAATATTTGTCAAAATATACCAAAAATATCTCAAAACATTCATAAATAATAGTAAAAATATCACAAAATATATGAAAATATTTTGAAATACCTCAAACTCAAAGTATTGGCATCTGATTTCATTATTGTTTTGTTTTGATCCTTTTAAAAACAAAAAGGTTTTGACTATTTCAAAATGAATTTTTTTTTGTTCAACGATTAGGGTTATTCGAATCAACTTATACGTGTCTCGATTAATTTCCTCCACCATCCAATCAAAAGTAATGACATCCATGTTGAAACAAAAAAATTCATGAAAAATAAATATTCATAACATGACCCCTAAAAATTTGTCAAAATTCAAACTCATATTTATTACCACAAAGAATGTTTAAGTTTACAACCTATGTTTGTTACCCCTTAAACTAAGGGTTAAAAGTAAAATTTTTAATGTTATTAATTTATGGGTCATTTAGAAGTCGGTATACTAAATTAGACATATTTATAAAAAAACACATAAAANAAATTTTTAATGTTATTAATTTATGGGTCATTTAGAAGTCGGTATACTAAATTAGACATATTTATAAAAAAACACATAAAATAAATATGTTGTAAAGAAGTACACTATTGAAATACAAAGACTTAACTGTCTATTTTTTAAAATTTATTTTCCTAACAACGGTTGTAGAAATATATCTTAAAATAAATTAGGTACATAATAATAAGGCTTAACCGCNACAAATATGTTGTAAAGAAGTACACTATTGAAATACAAGGACTTAACTGTCTATTTTTTAAAATTTATTTTTCTAAAAACGGTTGTAGAAATATATCTTAAAATAAATTAGGTACATAATAATAAGGCTTAACCGCTGGATTTTAGGAATATTAATTTGCAAAAAGTTTCGTCTTTGGAAAATGATTACCACTTGTTCTTTCTATCCAAAAATTGTTTCATCTTCCTCGCGTGAGAAGCTCTAAATCATTCCCTGAACTTTTACAGGATTTTGTCTTCTAAATGAAAATTCTACTGGTCTGGCATTGTAGATGTAGGTTCGTATGTGTTTCCTGCATAGTGTAACAAAGACAGTGTAACATTATAACATATACAGTGTTCAATAATTTTGTGAATGTGATAACAAATTCAAAACAAATTTGGACTGTTATAATGAAGTTATATACAATATTTGTTTAACAAAATGTAATATTACAGTGTTTTGTGTAAGTAAATTTTTACACTGTTATTGTTAAAATATAAATGCATACATAGGATGAATTTCGATTATGGTGTTCACATATAAAAAAATAGTATAATCACATTTAAAATGACAAACATAAACCTAATGAAGTCATGAATTCAAACATTGTAATTGCTTAAATTGAATGATAAAGATGAAAATAATGTTTTTAGATTTGNATAGTATAATCACATTTAAAATGACAAACATAAACCTAATGAAGTCATGAATTCAAACATTGTAATTGCTTAAATTGAATGATAAAGATGGAAATAATGTTTTTAGATTTGCACTGATAAATTGTTTCCAAGCTGAAGAAGAAGAAGACAACGATATTATTACAAAATTTCAAATTCAAAGCAACTAATTTATCCTCAAAATAAACGAAAGAATCAAATTTTTCATTAAATTAGGAGATTTTTAATGCATAAATATAATTTTAAAAAAAAGTAGTTTNGAAAATAATGTTTTTAGATTTGTACTGATAAATTGTTTCCAAGCCGAAGAAGAAGAAGACAACGATATTATTACAAATTTTCAAATTCAAAGCAACTAATTTATCCTCAAAATAAACGAAAGAATCAAATTTTTCATTAAATTAGGAGATTTTTAATGCATAAATATAATTTAAAAAAAAAGTAGTTTCTAAAAATAATCACATAATTTAAGAGATGATGTAAATGTCAAAGAAAAATCTAAAAATTTCAAATTATATACTTATACACAATTAAGATCTAAAATTAAAGATTTTTTTTATTTTTTATTTTTTTAATATATTTTTTTAAATAATATTACTGAGATCTATTTTATTCACCTAATAAAATTATTAGAACAACGTCNTATTATTTATTTTTTTAATATATTTTTTAAAATAATATTACTGAGATCTATTTTATTCACCTAATAAAATTATTAGAACAACGTCAAGTTTGACTGCATGGGGTAAATGTCAAAGCCGTAATTTCATCGGGAACGGACTAAATCCTGTGACGTAAGTGGTGACGTTGCTCAGTCAATATTTCTTTGAACTATTTATATTTTATACCTCCCTTCCCTCCACTTCTCCCACCACAGTGCATACCCCCATCTCTCTCCCTTTCTCTCTCACGCACACAGAGCATTCAACTGTTTAACCATACAAACATTAAAGATGTCTGGGTCTCAGTGTTTTGAGAATCCACCAATCGTCAGCTCAACCTGTGGAGCAGGGAGTGTCCAAGAACTNCAACTGTTTAACCATACAAACATTAAAGATGTCTGGGTCTCAGTGATTTGAGAATCCACCAATCGTCAGCTCAACCTGTGGAGCAGGGAGTGTCCAAGAACTTGGAGGCCTCAAAACTTACGTCACTGGGTCACAAGATTCCAAGCTTGCCGTCCTTTTAGTGTCTGATGGTTTCGGTAACAACACATCTTCATTTGCTTCATCAATCTATGTTTATTGAGTTGAATTTCATCCATTCGTTCTTTCATATGCCTTGATTTCAGTCTACAAGTTGTTGACATTTGATTTGAAATTTTTAGGGCCGTCTCTATGCAAATTCTCTAATGCTAGTTGCGTAAACCAACAAAAAATTGATTATCTGAGATTGAACAAATGGCATTAGAGCCAAATTAGAGTCTCCCTGGATGATTTTTTTTTTTTTTTTTGGGGGGGGGGAGTGGTGTGTTTTGAATATTTTGTCAAGTCACACTTGCTCAAATAATACAAATCCTCTCCATTAATTCAATTGGGGGAGATCATGTAATATGAATTCAAGCGAAACCCACTACGAGCCTCTCGCCCGTACACTGGTGATATAATGGATAGGATTTGGATCCCAAAGGTTGGGTCTATATATTCCATCTTTCCCAACGCCCTTGGTTAGTGGGATCCTAATTGGCAATGCTCCTTTATTTGATTTTCAGTGTCATGGCTTATTCAAGAGTTTAATTATTTTTATTGTGTTGGAACGTTTTGCAGGGTATGAAGCTCCGAATTTGAGGTATGGCGAGTTTTTTTTTGCTTTTTGGTCAGATTGAGTGAGTCATGATTTTGTAATTCTTTAAGAATCTTCACTTGTCATGATTTTGCAATTGTTTAAGAATCCATTTTAAGAAACTAAGAGCATAAGAGTCCAGTAAGAGATCTACAAACAAAAAAGAGTCAAAGTAAGCTATTTGTTTGCTTGTGCTCTGTCCTAGCTTCAGTTCATCTACAAATTAAAGTCTATGCTAGTATGTTTTGGTGGTTGGCTTCCAACTCTTCAATCTGTTAGCTTATGAAAATTTTATGATGGAGTGTGGAGGTTGTGGTAGTAGTTTCTTGTTTTCGGTTTCTTGATGTTATGTTGATATTGTTGCTCCATGAAAGTCATGATTAATGTCCAGCCTTCAATATTGGCAACACTAGGCAGATGCTTATGAGCATGAATACGAAAATTTTCATTTTTATTGTTGTGTTTTGGAGGTATCCGATCCCATGATGGGAGGAGAGAGTGGACCTCTTAGAGGCCACCTAGGGTAGGCCCGTGGTGGGAAAAATTCTCATTGAACTAACGAAATGAGCTTAACCCCTTGTCGAACTATTACCTGGAGCATGACTAAGTTGTGTTCAGTTCTTATTTAATTGGTTGCACCAACTCATCCTTCTGAACTAGAGTTGAGAAGCAGCATTACATACTTTTGTTTCCACCATGTGAATACAAAGAGCCTGGAGCTTGTCAGCATTTACAGCGTCATCACAAGTTGGGATTGCCTTATCCAGTCTAGATGGCCCTTCGTAGTCCACGAATTTAATCAAACTCACATTGTGACTGCCTACCTTTGTTTTTTCATGTAAATATTATTTATTTATAATTGCCTTTTATTACCATAAAGGAAGCTTGCAGACAAAGTTGCAGCTGCTGGATTCTTGGTGGTTGTCCCTGATTTCTTTTATGGTGAACCTTTTGATTTCAATAATCCACATCTGGATCGAGATTCATGGAAAAAGGCTCATAGCATGGTTAGTTGCCAATTCATTGATTTTGTTAAAACTCTATTGTCCAAATCAAATGGTGACTTCGTAATTTGTGTTGATCACTGGAAGATTATCCACCGTGCCGAAATCAAAAGATTCTGAAAGTTTCAGGATCCATTCATCGTCTATGACATATCATGTGGGATTATTGCATATGAAATGGAAGTTGGTGATGTGAAACAAAACCATCCCCAGGGTGACTTATTAGGACCAATTATGTTCATTTCAGGCCTTTAATGACGTCGTTGTAAATATTTGCATTAGGTAAACACGTATAACTTCTGGCCAAAGAAACTCCAAGTAAATGTATCGCATGCTTACATAACAAATTCAGNCATCGTCGTAAATATTTGCAATAGGTAAACACGTATAACTTCTGGCCAAAGAAACTCCAAGTAAATGTATCGCATGCTTACATAACAAATTCAGAAAGAAANCGTCGTTGTAAATATTTGCATTAGGTAAACACGTATAACTTCTGGCCAAAGAAACTCCAAGTAAATGTATCGCATGCTTACATAACAAATTCAGAAAGAAATAAGCCTGTGTTCTTTCTTTATTTTCATTGTTGGGGGGAGGGGGGGAATTGGACTCAATATGACTTTATTCTTCCATCAGGACAAAGGATTTGAAGATGCCAAGACAGTAGTTGCTGCTTTGAGAAGCAAAGGAGTGTCCTGTATAGGAGCTGCAGGCTTTTGCTGGGGTGGTAAGACACTTTCTCTTCTTTTTTGACTGCTGCAGGATAAGCTACATTTGCAATTGCATTCTGAGGACCTAATGTGATGGACTTGGCTTCTGAAATTGAGTTCATTGAATTTGTCTCAGGTGTGGTAGTCACAAAATTAGCACAGTCTGATGACATTAAGGCTGCGGTTGTATTGCATCCTGCCCACCTAACAGTGGAAGATATAAATGGTAAGTTTCCCATAATATAGAAGTTGACCAAAAATATATGTAGGATTGACAGCAAGTTGTTTCAGATGTCAAGACTCCAACTGTGATATTGGGAGCTGAGATTGACAGTACTTCCCCACCAGAACAACTAAAGCATTTTGGGGAGATTTTATCCAGAAAAACTGAAGTAAGAAATTCTCATATCAACTTTATGTCTGATTAGCATAAGAGATTTTAACTGTTTCTCGAACAAAGGTTTTTTATTGCCAAAAACACACCCCTATTGTTTCATTTCTAAGCCACTTCATGATTTGATAAGCTCTTGCACAATAACACAGCTTAGACAATATGCGGAATATCTGAATATCTTATGTTAGGAACATAGGCCGAAAGTTGAAATTGATGTCAAAATGGAGTGTCAAAACATTGTATCAGGCTTGCAAAAAGGCAACATCAACTAATAGTCTTCTTGGTTGTGTTCATTTTGTTTCTTGCTTTGCAGGTTGATAGCTTTGTGAAGATATTTCCTGGTGTTGCTCATGGATGGACAATGAGGTACAAAGATGGTGATGAATCAGCTGTCAAGTGTGCTGAAGAGGCTCATGGGGACATGTTAAATTGGTTTACCAAGTATGTTAAATGAAAAAATTCTACATGAATTCGGGTCTGAAAATGGGTTATGTAAACGTTTTTGAGTTAATTAACCGAATCAAGAGATTGCTAGTATGGGGTCGGATTTAACATATATCATATGTTGCCCGAGATTATGAACTTTATGCACTGGTAATGTAAACTATTGTATTCAAGTTGATGTAATGTATGCAGAAGTAGTCTGATGTTTAAAATCTGCGTATTATCGAGATATTTTTCTCAAGGAAAATAGTTGATCACCATGACTTGGATGACTTGTATTTGGATCCAATCCATGTTATCCTTTTGATTCAATCCCGTCACCCCCATTTCACTCAACCTGTGGCTTCTTGGATGGTTGATCAACCAGTGCCAAACAGCCACAATTCTCCCAGGTTCGTCGGGATTGCAAAATTTGAAATTTGAAATTGTTGCTATCCTTTGGGTAATCTGGAATGATTGGGAATAAAGTTGTTTTTGAACATTTACAGCTAAACCCCTATCTCTATTCTTCAATTAGGGGTGGGCTTTGACTCCGACAGAGCCGGAAGGTACTTATCCGACCTTCGACTTCGACTAGAGTCGAGGGAGATTTTGTCCTCCAATTCTGACTTCGAACTAGTATTATTCTGATTCTATCTTGTTGGAGGCAGAGCAAAGCGGAGTTCGGATTAGGGCCAATATTTGTTGGATTTTTTTTATGTTTTTTTTAAACATTTTTCTAGGATTTAGACCAATTTTTATATTGGGCAATGAGTAGCATTTTATAAATTTATATTATTTTATAAATTTTCATATAATAATCAATTATATAATTTATACTTTATATAAAATTATTTATTGATAAAAATCAAAGTCAGGATTTTTGTAGAAATGATTTCAAACTCCGACTCCAAGTCTAACTCTGTTAAACTCCGACTTTAAAGAAGGCTGAGTCAAATTTTTTGATTGTTGCAAACCCTTTTCTATTTCCCTTGGCAATGACATGATAATTTTCATCATTTCTTCAACAAATATTAGTACATGTTTTCAGAAAATAACATATACCAAAATTCAATCACTAAAAATAGATATATCTACAAATGTTTGCTATTATACTAATGAATATCATCGTCTACTCTACGGACTTTAAAATCAAGAGTTTAAATTTCGTCGTCTTTCTCTTTGTAATAATATTTAACAAAAAAAAAATATATATCTATAAAAATCATACGATATGAAAATGATACCAAAATTGATATAATGTTGGATTTCAGTTTGATTAATAAACAATAATTAATTAAAAAATAATATAAATAATACAAATTTAAAAATAAAAATTAACACACGTTAAATTTTTATTGGATGAAAATCTTGATGAAATATCTTTGGTCCAATGGGTCAAAGCGTAAATTGATTGGTAATGACTTCAAAGTACTCAACCTGTGACGTAAGTAGTGACTTAAATTGATTAGTTTAAGGGATCAATTAATACAGACGACATAATTTAGGGGTGATTTGTGTAATTAAACCAAACAATTTACTCACCTCTCCCACTCTCAGTCACACACACACAGTCCACCACGGTAATCGTCGTCCATCAAAACTGTCCTCGTCTCTCACTACCGTCACCATAACCCTCACTATTCACTTCATTATAATTGGTAATTAAATTTTTTTCCCTCTCTTCTATATTTATAATTTAATTTTGAGTATGAATACAAATATATTTATGAATGATATTTTTTTTATTATTCTGTACTTTCAGACACGAGTAATAACTATTTCTTTTTTTATATTATACCATCCTCCATATATAAAAAGTATTGCAATGTAGCTTTATCGTTGGTTTTCGTTCCTTATTTCATCACGTTAATTAGGATTAATAATTGAATATAATTGATGATACCTCAAGTAAATTATAAGAACGGGCTCAGGAAATGAGGTCAGGTCGGGAGGTCAGGTAGGGCATGAGGAGCTCAAAAGCCCAGAGCTAGAGCTCCTCTTGGGGAGATGGTAGCAGAACTGACCAGAAAACAGCAGGATAACTGCAAAAATTGGGTTCAAAACATGAAACTCTCGACCAACCAAGATTTTCTCTTAAAATCAAGGAGAATCCCACTAATGACAGGCGAAGATCTCGGCTGAGATCATACAGAACAGAGAACAGTCCTATAAATACTATGTAACACCTCCACCAAGAGAGATAGAGAAAAAAAAATCCTAATTTCGAAATATACTGTATTGTAATGCATTTGAGCAGTGAATAGAGGAGAGGAAGCAAGAGCCTCCATTAAAGAGTGAATTAACCGAGTTCCACAGCCGATAAACCACTGTACTTTTAATGTGCAAACATCCCTAACCCCCCAACGAATACTTCATCATAGCCATTACGAACTTTGTAGCCTGGATACACATTTGATCACACACACACACACTCGGCTCATTCACGTTGATTTACGCCATCAATAACTACCGGGTCTCAACTTAGATTCGATTCATATAGGGGTTCAACTTGTAGAATTTAAATAATTTTTTTAATTCATTTTAAAAAATGAGTCTAAAAAGATTTGGTTACAGGTCGTAAAGTTCGACTCATTTATATCTAAAATAGTCAAGTTACTCAGATTCGACTTGAGTTCGACTTGTTTTCTAAATAAACTGAATTTGAGCAATGTTTTAGGCTTGTTTAAAAAAATAAGTTCCACTAATTCGATTCAAATTTGCAAAACTTAGCTCAATTATAAGCGCTAACGTCAATTAGGTGATTTTTGATAAAAAAAAAAAAAAAAATGAGCAACAAAAGTTAAACACAGAGCCACGTTGTAATATTTTAATATATTTAAAGGATAATATAAAAGTTTACTCTTTGATGATGCAATAAAATTTTTAATTCTTTTGGATTACAGAGTGCGATTTTGATTTTTTTGTAAAATATTTTGAAATACTAATTAACATCTACCAAAATATTTAAAAATATTTTATAAATAATGATAAAAATATATCAAAATACTTCAAAATATTATGAAATGCCTAATATGACTCCCAATCGTTAAGGCCCCATGCGTAATACGCTTTAATGCCTTCCAATCCAAGTCGCCTTCAACCTTTACCATCGCTCCACCCATCTAGACCATGGGCTATTATTTAGAATATTTTTATTAAGAACTTATTTATTCATCTAATTTATTAAAATTATTAAATTAATGATGGGTCCATTTAATATCGGAAGTTCTGCTCATCTCATACTATAATAAGTTGTGTCTATAAATCAAATTGTTAAATGAGATTGGAGTAGTTTTGTTAGTTTATCTAGAATCAAAATTTTATTTCTTTCTATTATTTCGATCATTTAGAAAACATAAATAATTAAGAGATTTTATGAAAATATTTTGGAAACAACATAGAAATGAATAAAGTATTTGAGAGTTTAATTGTAAAATATTTTGAAATATTGATCTAAATATTTGCATACCTAAAGCATCTCAGACTAAATGAATTTTTCACCTTGAGTCAATTTTTTTCATCACCAAGTATGAGCATATGAAATAAACCTAAACACATTTGATTGTTCCATTATATCATCTATTGATATAAAATCCAAATAAAATTCTATTTTTTGAGAAATAAATAGTAATCAGTATAAATATATTATGAATCAGTAACCGTTAATTTATTGGTACATTAAACTTCCATATATAACTATCAGAATATATACATTCTATATAAAATTTCTGTTAATTATCAAAATATTTAATAAATAGTTTTCATATATAACTCAATTAACGGTTTTCATATATAACTCAATTAATGATTTTCATCTATACTTCAATGATCTAATCTATGTGACTTTTTATAATTGAACAAAACTAACACCGTTAGGGGGTAATTTTGAAATTATTTAAATGCCTACATATAAGTTTAAATGTTGACTTAACCCCGAGTAAATTTTTTTCTCAAACTCAAGTTATTATAATTTCATATAAAAGACTCACATCTAATTTTCGCTTAATTTTATATATCTGATAGAGTAGACCGGCCCGAGAAAAGCCCTGTCGAAGCCTAATTTCCAACGCAACGGACTAAAACCTGTAACGTAAGTGGCGACGTTGCTGAGCCAATATTTCTTCAAAGTTCAAACTATTTATACCTTCCTTCCCTCCACTTCTCCCACCACATTCCATACCTCTCTCTCTGTCTCTCTCTCTCTCTCTCACACACACACACACACACGCAGAGCAGACAACTGTTTAACTATACAAACATTGAAGATGTCTGGCTCTCAGTGTTTTGAGAATCCACCAATCGTCAGCTCAACTTGTGGAGCAGGGAGTGTCCAAGAACTTGGAGGCCTCAAAACTTACGCCACTGGGTCACAAGAATCCAAGCTTGCCGTCCTTTTAGTTTCTGATGTTTTCGGTAACAATACATCTTCATTTGCTTCATCAATCTATGTTTATTGAGTTGAATTTCATCCTTTCTTTCTTTCATATGCCTTGATCTACAAGCAACACATTTGATTTGAAATTTTTAGGGCTGTCTCTAAGCAAATTTCTCTAATGCTAGTTGAGTAAACAAAAAAATTTGATCATCAGAGATTGAACAAATGGCATTAGAGTCTTCCTGGATGATTTTTTTTTTTTTTTTGGGGGGGGGG